GCGGCTGCTCTGATAAGACCAGCCTCTCTCTGTGGTTTGACCTAACAAGTTCGGTGTATTCGAGGATTTCAGTGTTTACAGAGTGGCGCAGCATTATACAAGTAGACGGGATTGGGTGCTCTTGTCATTCGTGGAGCTACACAGCGAAGTGCAAACTATTGTCTATCATAACACTGGAGCAATCCGTCAATCTGTTCATCACCGACCGATCTGTGTCAAAAGATCAACGTATCTTTATCAAATAACGTGATCAGCGAGGCGATAGACAACGACAGGGTCTGTTAGTGCTCGTGGAAATCAAGTCTTTTCATTGGCTGAAAGGTCACCGTGTGTTCCGTCTGTGACGTCACAGTCAGCGTATCTCTCTTTCATTGACACTTTTTCCACCCACGTATATAGTGATGAGTCTCAAGAAGCCTAAAGACATATTCAAATATCCTCTACCGAGGACAGATACAGTATTAGCCAGCCCGACCACAAAACGGGTTCAGTTTGACGACAGCCTTGGGTTTGACACTGAAGACATGGGTGTAGTGTACGAGAGAAGCAACTCCACACCTTCTAAACCAGGCAATGTCCCCTTTTTCAGACAGCGGAGTCGTCGTCGAAGTATTAGAGACACTGCAACATCGCCGACGACACCCGACGACTACGTGCCGTTCATTCCACCAGAATCACCATTCCCTTCAAAGACAAAAAAAATGGACAGGTATGTTATTATTTTCGTGATTTCAGTTGTAAGTTGTAATCAACTAACTTAACACATTCCACATTCCATCTGACATGCCTTTTTGTGCATATATTCAGTCTAATGTACGTACTATTTATGTGTAATTGTGCTGTAACCGTAAGTGTCAATAATTAAACAATACTTGCCCAGTATTGATATGTACTGTTTATAGTATTCAGTGATGCTTTTAAGTAATTATGTGTACTCTTAATAGTATTCAGTGATGCTTTAAAGTAATTATATGTATTGTTTATAGTATTCAGTGATGCTTTAAAGTAATTATATGTACTGTTCATAGTATTCAGTGATGCTGTAAAGTAATTATATGTACTGTTTATAGTATTCAGTGATGCTTTAAAGTAATCATATGTACTGTTTATAGTATTCAGTGATGCTTTAAAGTAATTATATGTACTGTTTATAGTATTCAGTGATGCTGTAAAGTAATTATATGTACTGTTTATAGTATTCAGTGATGCTGTAGGGTAATTATATGTACTGTTTATAGTATTCAGTGATGCTTTAAGGTAATTATATGTACTGTTTATAGTATTCAGTGATGCTTTAAAAGATTTGCGCATACTATATGTACGTGATATTTTCCAACAATAAATCAAATTGTTGACATTTGTTTGATTGACTTACACTTTAATTGATATTTTGTATTCGGGTCACTCCAGGCCTGTCATAAATGTTAGATGACAGTTGCTGTGAATAATATTTTGCCCCTCTCTTTCAGTTTTGACCCCTACCAAGTCTTTCAGGTGAGTACAGCTTCTCTCAAAATAGCACACCCTGAAATAGATTTCTTTTCACACATTATATGAATACATATGGACAGAGTGCACCACCCCTTATCACACACCGTACAAACACTCACTCGAGCAAAGAACACACCAGTAGAGACTATTTCAGTTATCTTCATTCAATCATTCATACATTCCCTTCATGCTTTTTTCGCCCTTTCATCTCACTACGGTCGTAATGGGTGTAACAAGCGTAGCGTTTGCCCGCCCACCGACTGTCCTAATATGGCAACGCTGACCCATATTGATTTATTAATATTGACACAGGCGTGCCTCTCGCTTTAAAAGGCATAATGACAGTTATTTGTTTAAGAGGTTAAATAATCTGTGACTCCCAAGGAACATTCCCGACGGCCTGTGCCTCCCCTGTTTATGCTTGGTGACACTACTAGGTTTCCGGTGATTGTATTTTGACCTTACAGAGCACGGAAACGTGGCCTAATGGGTTTATTGTGTGATAATCTGACTTGTGACACGTACGGGTTTGGCATATATCAAACTGAAACCTCTAAACGCCCATGATAAGCGAATGAAGTCCCATTTGTATAATATCTGGTTTCCAGGCACAAGTTTTTTTATAGAGATGTGTGTGTCGTCACTCTTGCGGTTTCTGTGGCTATTTCTGTTTGTGCAATTGTGGTAGATTGGGTTGTAGGTATTGTACACATGATATTCCCACGGGTGACTGAACAATGATTAAGAATCAATAAAAGACCAATCCCATGAACGTCCTCGGCGTACACCGTCGTCCACGGTGACGCGTGTATAGGAATGTGCACTTCCTTTCTAGATTTCAATCTATGAATATCGGAAGCTGTATAATGAGATTACTATGTTTACATAATCTCACCGTGTCCACTGCTATGCCGCCACTAATGGGATTGGAATACAACTTCTGTAGTTGATGGTAATGTCAATATTGCCACTTCCAAAAGCTCACAGATTCTGTGATTGAATTCCGAGTCTTTGATCTGTGCTATTGAGAAAAGGGATTTATTACGTCAAGCGCGGTCTATTCACACAATACATATGACAAATGAATCAGAGAAAACACTCTCCACACAAGCCATATTAATCGAATACTGAATTGATTTTAATTGCCAGTTAATTACATTAACTCTCGTGATAATATCAATAATTGCTTATAGTAAGAATGACAAAAATTAGTATGTGGAATAGACACAGATCTGTCATGTGTAACCTCCATTTACTAACTGTTTGATGGGTATTACTAAAAGTTGACGAGTAAATACGAAAACGAATAACGTCGTGGTTCCAGCTTGAGAACGATGTAAGACTCTGCATTGAAACCTCGCCAACACAATAGTTGTTATCCATGAAGTCTTACGTTTCTTAACCTCCGATGGAACTCCTCTTCTACCCTTCAGTAATACTCTCAAGTATTCACATCAAATTCACAACGTGTATTCCTCTTACTGTTGCAGGTGAACCATTTACCATGCATGATTCTCACTGTCAAGGTTATCCGGGGCAAGAACATCACCAAGGGATGGGAGGACTATCGTGAGTATATGTCTTTCCCACGAAATGTGTTCCTCTCACAAAATAAATATCCTAATTCCTTTCTTCGCGTTCCTCCCAAAACGTTCCCGAAAATAACTGCCTGTTTACACTGTATTTCAGTACTTTGTTTGAAGTTCGCTAATGTTTAATTCAAGCCTAATTAATTAAGATACCTCTAATCTGAGCTAAGTTAAGGGCGATGTTGCAATCGTAGTGTGTTTTTGTGTGAAACTGGGACGCCCATTGTTATCGTTTATGGTCTGTGTATAGGCTGGTAGTATAGCTGAATCACTGCAAGACTTTAACCTATGGGTCATTTGTAATAAATCTCACCACAAGAAGCATTAGGTGAGGTGGGGTGAAATTGCGTTTAACGTCGCGTTCAAGATTATTGCACTTATATAGCGACGTGCATGTGTGTGTGTGTGTGTGTGTGTGTGTGTGTGGCTGCTTGTAGTAGTCCGGACTGGTGCCGATTTATAGTGCTAGCTCACTGAGATACCATGCCGCAGTTTAACATGAATACCCCACTCAGACACAGTATACTGACTCCAAGCCGACCAGTCCTTGTTTTAGCCCCTTAATACCGAGCGCCAGACAGGGTAACAAACAAGTACCATCTTTTAACATCTTTTGGTATGACGCGGTCGGGGTTCGAACCCCGGACCTTCCGCTCTCGAGGCGGACGCTCTACAACAAGACCACGGAGGCGCTCTAGAAGCATCAGGGCTCCACAGTGTAGCTGCTGACGCAGAGAAAGAAGTATTCCCATATAGAACTGGCATCTTATCTCAAGGGTGTATTAAAGATAGCGCGTGTAACCCAATAACAACATTACTAAGTATTCAGCTATCCGAACCTAACAGCTACCCACTCCCTATGAATATATCTTCGCGTCGACGAATACTTGTCTGAGAACAGTCCATGTGATCTTTGAGGGTTTTAAGGTATAGTGGTTGGTTAATGCCAGAGGTATTTATGACATACTCAGAAAACACGTGCCCTATCTATCCAAAGGAAATTTCTCGAACGATGGACTAAATGCAGAACATTCCATACCCACTTTAAGCAGTGATGAACAAATAGCTACTATTGTTTTGTCATATGTGTCTTGTGATATATTTCGGGCTGTATTTATGTTGTGTTTGCGTCAGAACGACCTAAACAGGGATGCATTTATGAGTTTTTGGGTGCTAAGACTACGTTTCCTAAGCCAACACACTTGAAACTCTGGCCTTTCTGTTAAACGCCGCGTACATCTGATGCACATCTACAAACCAAACAAGTAGCAGCCCGCCACTGAATATTGTACATTTCTCACAGGGAGTCTAGATCGCAAATCGGCGTCTGCGTGGACCCTTTTCACGAAATGTCTCGTTTTCCTTTGGGGAGAAGGCGATGCGACATTCAGACTGTTTTGTCCGAATTTGGTCTTTATATTTTGGTTGTTATACATATTGTTTCTTATAACAAAGAATATATATGTATAATGTTATTGCGCACATAGTAATTTGACATTGTAAAATAAATATATTTGATGCGAAACATTTGACTTTGATTTTTCATAACGTATCTTGTCATAACGTTTATGACCTCCACTGTTGCGACCTTTAAACTTTATTTCCGGAAATCTTGGAAAAGCATGACATAATTATGTAAATGACATTTAGCGTCAAGCCAATAGATGGATGATACAGAACGGCACGTGAGAGGAACCGTTAGTCAACGGCCGGAAACAATGCCTGCTACCGGAGATGAGATGTGTAGATACTGTTTACATAATTTAGAATGAACATCCTCGTGATCTTATGTGTGAGTGTTATGTATTTGGCAACATAATACCAATAAGAGGGAATAAATTACACATGTCTGTACTTACGGTTATTTGATGTCGTTTTTTGTTATGAATAAACATACATCAATACCACAATCACAAATGTTAGAGGGGCACGGGTGGCCCAGTCGTCTAAGGCGCCGCGATTCGCTGTGCAGAGTTGCGTCCCTTGGGCACGCCAGAAACCTATGATTGTGGGTTCGAATCCCGGTTCGCCCAAATTATGTTTCTAGGTTTGTCAGCACCATACCCGTGCTCGTGGGTTTCACCGAAGTGTTAAACGTCTTAGACCTGCATCACTTCGGGCTTTCCTCCCACATTAAGCTGACACGCCGTGATAAAACTGGAATAATGTTAAAAGCGGCGTTAAACCCAACTCACTCACTCACTCACAAATGTTATCTGATGCTTATGCGTATTCTGGAGGCAAGTGAGGATCTATAGTAGTATTCATATGATGTTTTCTTTTCTTGCAGTCGACACGCCCGACCCGTACATCTCCTTAAGGATGCGGAATGCCCCCGAGGGCCGCAAGAGAACTCTAACAGTGGACAACAACCCAAATCCCGTTTGGAACGAGACTTTCACATTCCTTTTGGATATCAGGGAAAAGAACAGATTACGTATGTATTGTATTACTTGTCAACGCTGTAACATGACTAGTAGAGACGTTGTAACATGATTAGCAGAGACGTTGTAACATGATTAGTAGAGACGTTGTAACATGACTAGCCGAGACGTTGTAACATGATTAGCAGAGACGTTGTAACATGATTAGCAGAGACGTTGTAACATGATTAGTAGAGACGATGTAACATGACTAGTAGAGACGTTGTAACATGATTAGTAGAGACGCTGTAACATTATTAGTAGAGACGTTGTAACATGCTTAGCAGAGACGTTGTAACATGATTAGTAGAAACGTTGTAACATGATTAGCAGAGACGTTGTAACATGATTAGCAGAGACGTAACATGATTAGCAGAGACGTTGTAACATGACTAGTAGAGACGTAACATGATAAGTAGAGACGTTGTAACATGCTTAGCAGAGACGTTGTTACATGATTAGTAGAGTACTTTTATCGTACTTAACAAGTGTCGAAACTCATGAGCTGCTTTGTGGTTCAAACGTTCTCAACCACGCTCCAGGTCATCCACGGGGTGGGAAATGTGTGAACTTATTTGTATATGTCCTCCATCGTGATATGGTTGGCCTACTAGAAGACGACGTAACACAATACTCGCTGTTATAAATGGAAACATCAATGGATTAGTTACCTCGCAAAGTGTGATGTCTTATGTGGAAACGGCTATAGTTGAACTCTTATCATGGGGTCACACTGATGTGTGTGGCTGTGGCGTAACTATGACATTTTAGAAACTTACATACTATATATTCATAAGCATCATGATCACATATCTCAAGTTCTGTTTTGGTTTTGCAGAGATCAGCTTAATGGAGGCCAACCTCATGTATGACCAGGAACTTGGAACTATCTACTACGACTTGTACAAAATGACAGAAGGACAATGGACGAGAGAAAAGTTTATTTTCAACGAAGTATCAGAAGTGTACGTCGACTTGCTTCTGTGCTGGGAGTAAGTAGAACTATAAAACCTCCTCATCCATATAGAGAATCTCACCCGAGTGTCTTTTGATATCAAATATATCAACACGAGTTGATAAAAGTGGAAAAATTCCGAGGCTTGCCGAGGATTTTTGCCACTTTTATCAACGAGTGTTGATATATTTGATATCAAAAGACACGAGGGTGAGATTTTATTTATCATCCAACATCATTCTTCCAACTTTTTCAATTTGTAGACAGTAATTAGCAGTGTCTTCAGTGTAAAAAGTACTGCAAACAGCTTCAGTAGCAGAGCCATTAGTGATGACATTTGATTGTGACGTCATGGTAACCAGTGCCGTCACAATGGTCTGCAAAGCATAGTGATGTAATTTCATTGCAGCGATATCTACAGTGTAGATATCGCTTGATCCAGTTTTTGATAATAAAGTAAATCAGTCCCAATATGCCAGTGGGATCTATCTTCTATTAAAGCATCATGATATATCGATTCATAGAGGATGGATATCAGCAATGGTCCTGACACATTGTGTGTACCCACACCGAACCCCTGCGACGGTTGAACTCTTCAAAGACTAGACCTCTTTTAATTAACTATTTCCTATGGATTTCAGCAAGAATCCAACCTTGCGGTACAGCCTATGTCTGTGTGACCAGGAGAAACAGTTCCTGGAGAGGAGGCGAGAAAAGGCATTTGAGGGTATGAGGAAACTTCTTGGGGAAAGGTCACCTGAAAAGTTCAGTGAGGTTAGTATAGGAAATAACAGTCGATCGTGCGCTAAAACTCACAGTAGCAGTGCTTTTATACTGTAAAAAACGAATTCAAGCGGTTAATATTACCTGACACTTTCTTTTTAACAAATTCATATTATATCATCCTCTTTTATTTATAGGTCCCCAACATAGCTGTGTTGGGATCCGGTGGAGGATTTCGGGCCATGGTTGCCTTCAGTGGTGTGTTCAAGGCACTGAGTGATAGCGGAGTACTAGACACTGTGACATATGCTTGTGGACTCTCTGGATCATCCTGGTATGTTCCTCCTCGCAAACTAGCTGTAAAATGTTAATTGCTGTCGTGATGGAATAATTGGTCCTGTTTTGCTTCCTCTCCTACAGATAATGTCATGGAGGCTAATTGTTATATGAACTCTTCCCGTAATCTTTCAATTGATAGGTTATTAATTATGGAAATTATCTATATGTACAGAGGGATGGTTCCTTACGCGGCTTGGTAAACCTGGAACCTGTACAAATATGAAACACTTCATTGAGACAAAATTGTACCCGTCTCAATGTATATGTATATCTATTTAGACAAGACACTTGACTGCAGAAGCTCTTTTCCCGAGCTTGTTGAGGGTCTAGTTTAAACCATACATAAGTACAGTAAAGTACGGTTATAACGAACTCAAAGGGACTACTAATTTTAGTTCGTTATAACCATAGTTCGTTATAAGCATATATACAGCATAACTACAGCAAATAGTCGGGACCAGAAAAGTAAGTTCGTTATATCCGTAAGTTCGTTATAAGCGTGTTCGTTATAACCGTAGTTTACTGTAACACATTTCTGACGTAGCAAGAACACATGATGTTGTATATCAAGGAGCCTAGCAGAAAGCAGAGATATGAGGATTTATATATGTACCTTCTCTCTTTAAAGGTATCTGTCCAATCTATATTCCTACCCTCGCTGGCCGGATATGGACCTGGGGGAGGTGCAGGAGGAGTTAAAGCACAACATTGACCGGAGCATCATGTGGCTCCTGCAGCCAAAGAGTGTCTACAGGTACCTCCAGACAATTCTCAAGAAACGCCGTGAGGGACAGCCTGTCAGCTTCACAGACTTCTTCGGGCATATGGTTGGGGAGACGCTCCTCAAAGGGGTAAGCAAGAGAAAATTTTGTCTTTTTAGTGAGTGAGTGAGTTTGGTTTTACGCCGCTTTTAGCAATATTCCAGCAATATCAAGGCGGGGGACACCAGAAATGGGCTTCACACATTGTACCCATGTCGGGAATCGAACCCGGGTCATCGGCGTGACGAGCGAACGCTTTAACCACTAGGCTACCCGGCCGCCCTTTGTCTTTTTAACAACCTTCACCTTTTGGAACGATACTTTTGGAAGACTTTTGATTGAGTCAGTTTTGAGAAATGAGGATTCAGTTGGAAACCATTATAATATCAGCTAGTTGGAATGTATACACTATGTTATTATATATCTATCTTTCATCATTTCACAGAGGTTAGGCGGTAAACTGACTGACCAACGAGAGAAAATCAACGATGGGGATGTACCAATGCCGATGTATACCTGCGTGCATGTTAAGAAAGACGTGCCAGCAAGATCATTCCAAGGTAAGCATGCACATACATTACTTCAGTAATAATTAATATTTACCACTACAAACATAAGCCACAATCGCTCTTTTATGCTATGTATGCAACGAAACAAAAGCATTATTCTTTCTTTGTCCTATTTTCAGAGTGGGTAGAATTTACACCTTATGAAATTGGTCTGCCAAAGTATGGAACATTCCTGGACTCGGAGTTGTTTGGCAGCAAGTTCTTCATGGGTAAACTGTGTAGGAAGTACGAAGAACCTCCCCTGCATTTCCTCCAAGGCATCTGGGGCAGCGCTTTCTGCATCTTGTTCAAGAGATTGTTGGATGACAACAGAAGGGTGGACCCAGCCGAGATGATCAGACAGGAACTAGGTAAGGAAGTGATTCCTGTAGCTTGTATCAGGAGTGAGTGAGTGAGTTGGGTTTAACGCCGCTTTTAACAGTATTCCAGTTATATCACGGCGTGTCAGCTTCATGTGGGAGGAGAGCCCGAAGTGATGCAGGTCTCAGACGTTTACGGCGAAACCCACGAGCACGGGTATGGTGCTGACAAACCTAAAAACATAATTGGGGTGAACCGGGATTCGAACCCACAATCATAGGTTTCTGGCGTGCCCAAGGGACGCAACTCTGCACAGCAATTCGCGGCGCCTTAGACGACTGGGCCATTGTATCAGGAATATGCAGCTGTGGTACTATCATCATCCAATACAATGGTCAACTTGGTTCATGTTTTCCGTATACGAGTATGTTGACGAGGATTCGATCTATAATGTTTGTTTGTTTGTTTGTTTGTTGTTTAACGCCGCATTCAGCAATATTCCAGCTATATGACGGCGGTCTGTAAATAATCGAGTCTGGACCAGACAATCCAGTGATTGATATCATGAGCAACGATCCACGCAATTGGGATCGATGACATGCATCAACCAGGTCAGCGAACCTGGCCACCCGATCCCGTTAGTCGCCTTTTACGACAAGCATAGTCGCCTTTTATGAAAAGCATGGGTTGCTGAAGACCTATTATACCCCGGATCTTCACGGGTCTACGATTAATGAGAAAGGCGTGGTAATTTCGAAGCATTAAACACTTTCCTGTATCTTAACTAATCAGTTAAGTGATCTTCATTGTATAAGACTACATGTGCACAAATATAATTATTGACTTATAACTACCATATTATGAATTAGATTGTGTCTCCTCTTGTATTGGAAAATATTTACTCGCGAACAACAGTCTATATAAACACTGTAGTAAGGTAGTACATTTAATCTCAGGCAAAGAACTCGAAAAGAACCAACTTGCTGTTGAGGAGGACAGTAGTGACTGCAGTGATGAAGAAGATGAAGTAGACGACGAAATTCCCAACTCAGGCGAGAGTAGTGACGACTCCAACGACACCACTGCTACTCCCACTCCTAAAAAGCAGGTCAAAGTCACATTTGCGCCTGATGTCGAGGAAATCCCTGAACCCAAAACAAAAAGGCCAGAACTGAAGCGAGCAGAGTCACAGCATAAAACCCGACAGTGGAGTTACTGGCATAACATGCTTAAAGGAATGGTTGAAAAGTGAGTTGTTATTTTAGAAAGGTTTCCTGTGTAAAAATGTTGCTGGTAGAAACCGATTTGTCCACACGGTGTAGGTACATTAGCAATCAAATCTTGTTGAAAGATATATATTTCCAACTTATATTCTCAATGCACAATGAGCAAAAACTACCGAATAATATATCAGTCACTGTCATATACTAGGACTAAATCGCAATGACCTAAATTCAATTTCCTTTCCAGCAAAAACTTCGAGCTGCTGAGCACACGAACCGGACGCGCAGCTGTCATCCACAACTTCATGCGAGGCTTGTCTCTGCAGGAACAGCATTTGTCTCCCTTTACACCTGTCAGCGAACGTGTCAAGGAAGGAGATGAGTTTGATGGCATCTTCGACATGCACCCAACAACTGTGAAGCACATCTACATGGTGGATGCCGGCCTCACATTTAACTCCCCCTATCCACTGGTGCTCAGACCTCAGAGGAACATCGACATCATACTCTCATTTGACTTCAGTGCCAGGCCCAGTGATAGCACTCCCCCTTTTAAGGTATATGTTTATATATGTTACACAAGTGTCCACTTATCCCCAGAGTGAGTGTGTGAGTGAGTATGGTTTACGCCGCTTTTAGAAATATTCCAGCAACATCACGGCGGGGGACACCAGAAATGGACATCCTTGTCGGGAATCGAACCCGGGTCTTCGGCGTTACGAGCGAACGCTTTAACCACTAGGCTACCCGATCGCCCCTTAAATCAGTTTAGAAGTACCGGAACTTTTGCATGATTTGCCATATATTGATGTAACAGTTACACAACGGAAAAATGCAACTGTATATTTCTCACACTAATTAATGCATTGTCACACCAATTAATGCTTTAAAATGTATATGTAATAACGCCACATAGGCTGACAGACCCTATATTTACCTGCATATTTTTTGCCTAGGAACTTCTACTGGCGGAGACGTGGGCCAAATTGAACCGCCTACCATTTCCTCCAATTGACCCTACAGTGTTTGACAGAGAGGGGCTGAAGGAGCTGTACATATTCAAGCATCCCACAGATCCTCATTGTCCGGTGGTCATGCACTTCTGCCTCGTTAATATCAACTTCAGGAAGTTCTCCAAACCAGGTATGTGGACTATTTAAGAGGAAACATGCAGAAAATACGCTTATGTAAATTGTGTGACTGGTAGGTGCTACCGGTAGGTCATTCGTGCCCTTTACCTTCATCACTGATTTTCATATTGTTTTCATTCATATAGTTTTCACTGCTATTTTCCGTGTCGCCCATTATAATCTCTTTCGGCAGATAATCGAGACTAGTTAATCTCTGGCGTTTCGTGCCCTTAACCTTCATCACTGATTTTCATATTGTTTTCATTCATATAGTTTTCACCGCTATTTTTCGTTTCGCCCATTGTAATCTCTTTCGGCAGATAATCGAGACTGGTTAATCTCTGGCGTTGAGGTTTTATATTTATCTTAGCTAGAAAACATCTTCTTTAAAATGATGATATGATATGATATCTTCACGAGTGTGCAAGTATGCTGCAGCGAAATTAAATTAAGAATACTTGTGAAACTGTCATGATATTTCATCACTTGAACCTGTTAGTTAGTGTTGTCTTTTATTTTGCAGGAGTAGAAAGAACCACCAAAGAGGACCTGGAGTTCGCTGATTTCGACCTGTTTGACGACCCAGCCACTCCCTACTCCACCTTCAACTTCTGCTATACCCACCAACAGTTCGAACGCTTGTCGAAATTGACGGAGTTCAATACTCAGCTCCATGTCGAGGACATAAAGAATGTGATAGCAGATAAGATTGAGGCCAAGAGGACACGTCCTCCAAGGCTTCCTTTCCAGTCTAAGGACATGAAGCTGTTGAGAATCAAAAGTATTCAGGAAAGGAGAAGATTGAAGAAGTACCTGTCAAGGGTAGAGAGCATCCACCAGTCCAAATCCCCAACTATCGAACCCTCAACCCCTTTCTTCATAGCGCCCGAGGGTTTGGAAGACCTTCCGGAGAGTCCCGACCCAATGCACAACGATGGGGCTAAGAGGAGAAGGGTGAAGCTCACGAGACAAGACACCGTTGGATCCTTAAACAGTATCACCGAGTCTATTTCCCTGGAGTCACCAAAAGCGTGTTCTGGTGGACAGTTTGATGTGTTTCAAAATGGACTTAATGATGAAGAACTTGACACTGACTCGGATGATTACGAGGACATTTGGTATGATGCCCAGACATACCATTTCGATCCCAAAATGAACACTGTCACATCTTGTGCAACGTGAAAGGTTATTCAGTCAACAAAGGTCTTGAGTTCTTGAGTTTGGTGCTAACCGAATTCTCTCACTTCCCATAGTGGGTAGATGCCAGTTCAGGCGTGGCAAAAACAGGTGTTTGGAATATCAGATGTTGCAGGTGCCTTACCAGTGATAAATAGTGTGGCATCGGCCCGGCCAACCTCTGATATCTCATGGTAGAGGATAGCATCTCAGAATAATTGGTGACTTTGCTTGATAATTTGCTTAACTTAATTAGTATGGTGATATTTGTGTGTTATGAAGGTACTCTGCTCAACTTATTTATTACAAGGCTTGGAAAAGCCAGACTGTGAAACAGGATATTTGTGGGACCACTACTTGACTTTAATGCGCCCATTCTGTGATGTGCAATAGTCTGATTTGGAGTAACCATATCGGCATTTTTTACTAATATTTGTACAGCTTTATTTTTCGTTTTATTTGTTATAAAAGAGTAAAACATGCCAAGTGAAATAAATCGAAGCTAAAAATATTCAGCCTCATTTTTTTTACTCGCATCCTTCTCTCACTTAATGTGCAGGCCGACTGTTCACGCGAGAATATCAACCTACAACGAGATCATTCTGTTACTCTTACTTATGGAAGTTCATTTTACTTACACCGCCTCCGTGGTGTAGAGGTAGAGCGTCCGCCGGACAGCGGAAGGTCCGGGGTTCTATACCAAAAGACTTTAAAAGATGGTACTTGTTGTTACCCTGTCTGGCGCGGGGCATTAAGGGGCAAAACAAGGACTGGTCGGCTCGGAGTCAGTATACTTTGTCTGAGTGGGGTATTCATGTTAAACTGCGGCATGGTATCTCAGTGAGCTAGCACTATAAATCGACATCAGTCCGGACTGGTACAAGCAGCCACACACACACGTGCATGCACGTCGCTATATAAGTGCAATAATCTTTGACGCGACGTTAAACCCACTTTCACATCACCTCACCTCATTTTACTTACTGGGCCGTTTGTATGACTTTTCGTGCTATTTCTGACGTATTGGGAAAATACCAAATAGATGGTTAGATGAGGAATTGCCCCTGTAGACTTTCGATTTTAATCAAACATGACCTAATTACCTCTTTGTCTGATGCTACGGTATTTTATTACTTGCCCATGAAGAGATCACCCGTTTAATAAACATACTTCTTACACACCTGTGGGTGAGAAACCCATTTGAGATAACTGGTATCAAACATATGTGTGAGATCGAATTCCAGGCTCGTGATTGGCTACTCCATGGTGATGACCTGGGGTCAGATGATGACGGACTACTTTCCTGAGTGTAAGTCATTCATAAGTTGCTCGTGCTTCAGTCGAATGTTCACCTACGTCTGTATTGAACAACAGGACCGTGCAATTAATAATTAAATAAACAAACTCGTCCCCGTTTGCGAGTTTGTTTGTTATTATTATCAGTTACATTATCTGTTGTTATGTCAACATTATCGTTTTTTCAGAGTGTAAACCCCCTGGCTGGCACAGCGACACATATGTCCCTTCTCTTCAACCCTCACTTCGAAATCGCATAAAATTCGAAATACATCACGCAGACACTTCACAGTTTTGAATTCCCCCTTCTGTTTATCATTTACTGTCATTTTAGGCAATTCAAAATTACTGAAAGGGACTGAAAGTTAGGTACATTGTAAATCTCGTCAAATCACAATTCACGGCGTTATATAAATATGTACTGTGTGTTTAGAAATCTAAATATCGGATATTTACTCGAATAATTAAAGTAGAAATATAGCATATTATCGATCACGGGTATCAAATCACTACTGATAATTCTGAAACGTCGCTGATAAGCCTAGAATCGTTTAGAATGTATTGGAAAATATGCATACACGAACGCCTAAGTGTACGTTCCGCCATATTGGATTGTGTTTACAAAATGCCGGTTATGAGACGCCTACTTTCGATCAGGTTCTATTTCAAACTCAGCTGCTATACATGCATCCCTGAATTCCTCATACATTTTCGAAACAATGGATAAATGGTCTTTGTCACAATGTAAATTATCTAGATCTAGATGAAATCATGCGAAATAAATTAGGTATGGAAACGAAAGCTGTGCTCGGAAAATTGTACTTGCTGAAATGTAAACAAAGCAAAATTCAGATTTTACACTGTGTAGGTACTTTCGTCTAATTGTTGCATACATTGGCTCGATCACGCGTTTGAGAATATTCATGGGAAGAGTATCGTTGCACTAAGTATGGAATGACACATATATACATTACAATGATGTGGTAAATTCAACAGAAGCCGTAAAAGTTTCCGTCCTGTGTGACGCCATGACTGACGCTATATCACGCACAACGATGACGGTAGTTATCTGCATTTCTGACTAATTCTCTTTGTAACATTGAAAAACATGGTAAACAAATAACAGTACGCAGATTGTCAGAGTGATTCTGATTACTTACGTGACACATTTATTTGTATACGATCCCTCAATCAACGAAAACCTCCTCTGGAAATCCCGCGTACTGTTGTCAGTGAACACGCCATTTTGTAATAGTCGGTCACTGGTAGTGATGTCATACGGAAGTAAACATTGTTGTACACATTTGGTAATTTCTTTGAGGTATAAACTTTCAACTTGGCACCCAGCGTGTTCTTTGATTTTGTCTAGTTTGCATTTTCATCATCGCCTTGATAATCCACAGATGGGACGGAAACCGTTTTGTGTAGGGTCACATTATGTATGAGTAGTAAGCAGCACATAGGATGACGTCACTTATGACAATGGTGTTATGTATTAATGCGCTACTGCAATCATGAGAATAGACAAAATTCATCGGTTCGATGCTAAAAATGTGCGATTTTAGGGTGTGTAAGAAACAGATTACTGCACTCGTGCCTGTCAGATACCATTGATCTTTCGCTCGTTAGATACGTTTTGAAACAACTCGTTGTAAGATCAATGGTATCTGACAGACACTCGTGTAGTAATCTCTATAGCTGCATTACACATTGTGTAATACCAAAACGCTTATGTACTCTCGGAACACGTTTCACGAAAAAATATTGAAAGCTCTCAACATCCCTTTTCTTATTCAACGACATTGCGTGTGGAGATGATAGATCACTGAGAGGAGCTTATGCACCCTCGATGTCCCCAGCAACCTTGTTGCTAGACTGACGTCACATGGCATTGTTTCGCCGATGGATCTTGCAACAAAATTCCACAAATTACGTCATCGGGTATTGTGACGTGATTGTAAACTTTGAGGTGCAAGGCCCCGTTCCACAAGGCGATCGTTTTGTAGCGCAACGACAGTCGTTAGTTAAAGTATGTGAGTTGCGATAACCTTAGCGCTACGATAGTTTTGTGGAACGGAGGCCTGAATTCTAAAGGTGGACCGTTGCATGGTACAAAATTCATACGTTTCAAGTTTTGACTTGTTTGAAGTATTATTCTCAATTTGATTATGCCGTGGATTGTGTTGGTGTCAGCCCATTCACACTCAACAGTATAATTCTAAAAACGTTATAAATGGCAAGTAATAAATAGAATACTAAACTCTCTCCCGTGTTTCGCTCGTCAGATACCAGAACTATTCACTCGTTTCATAAAATTGGTATTACACGGGAGCTCGTTCAGTATTCTATATGCACGATTTGGGTACTGGTTGACTTAAATTCCTAAAACATAAGTTTAAAAATAAACTATTCAGAAAAGAGATATGTTTGACAGTCAATAACGAGTATGTCCAATCTTGGGGACACATTTCCCATCACAAATGGAAGCACGGAACATATGCTGAGGATATGATAATTCTGTTAGATTTTATTAACATTTCCAGTTTACCTGAACGAATTAATTAGCTAAGAAACATGAAGAAGTACGGCATGTTAGCACTATGCCTACTTGTCTTCATTTCTTGATTGAATGCTGACTTAGGTCTTTCCAAAGGTTCCCTGAAAAGGTAATATATAGGCTGTTGTTATGCCCATGTGCATACAAGGACCGCACGTGTTAGGACAGCAGATAGGAAATTCAGGACCATGGAAAACACTACGCAGTCTGTCAGCAATATATGTTGATATAGAGAATCTCACCCTCGTGTCTTTTGATATCAAATATATCAACACGAGTTGATAAAAATGGAAATATTCCGAGGCTTGCCGAGGATTTTTGCCACTTTTATCAACGAGTGTTGATATATTTGATATCAAAAGACACGAGGGTGAGATTTTATTTATCATCCAACATCATTCTTCCAACTTTTTCAATTTGTAGACAGTAATTAGCTGTGTCTTCAGTGTAAAAAGTACCGCTAACAGCTTCAGTAGCAGAGCCATGAGTGATGTCATTTGTTTGTGACGTCATGGTAACCAGTGATGTCATAATGGTCTGCAAAGCATTGTGATGTAATTTCATTGCAGCGATATCTACAGTGAAGATATCGCTTGATCTAAATCCAAGCGATATCTCCTGTGGGAGCCAGTTTTGGATGATAAATTACTATTACAGTAAACTACGGTTATAACGAACACCTTTTATAACGAACTAACTTTTTAGTCCCGACTATATGCTGTAGTTATGCTGTATATATGCTTATGACGAATTACGGTTATAACGAACTAAAATTAGTAGTCCCTTTGAGTTCATTATAACCGTAGTTTACTGTACATCCACGCGTCAACAAAACATTGTCCATGATAGAACATCATCTGGTGGGGCTTCTAACATTTAACAGATGTTACCAGCGGACATTGTCTTATGTTTAAGGGGACATTCTTATTTTCCTAAAACGCTAACAGAAACAAAATAATGAAAGGAAAGGATATGTATCACCATCTTTGATATGTATCCCCATCGATATTGGCAACAGAACAATAAATCGGTTATTATACCCAAATGTAGTCAAGGGCAGCCTACCAAGAGTGAGTGAGTGAGTGAGTTGGGTTTTACACCGAATTTAGAAATGGTCCAGCTATATCACGGCGGGGGACACCAGAAATGTTTTTTTTACCCAAATGTAGTCAAGGTCAGTCTAACCAAGAGTGAGTGAGTGAGTGAGTGAGTTGGGTTTTACACCAATTTTAGAAATATTCCAGCAATATCACGGCGGAGGACACTAGAAATATTATTTTACCCATATGTAGTCAAGTTACGTCTAACTAAGTGAGTGAGTGAGTGAGTGAGTGAGTGAGTGAGTTCGGTTTTACATTGCTTTTAGAAATGGTCAAGCTATATCATGGCAGGGGACACTAGAAATGTTATTTTACCCAAATGTAGTCACGGTCAGTCTTACCGTGAGTGAGTGAGTGAGTGAGTGAGTGAGTGAGTGAGTTGGGTTTTACACCGCTTTTAGAAATATTCCAGCTATATCACGGCGTGTGACACTAGAAATGGGGGGAATCGAACCTGGTCAGCGGGCGTGGCGAGCGAACGCTTTAACCTCTAGGCTACCCCACGGCAGCTCTAACCACGATATGAGCTGACAGTGCGTGTACAAAGATTGATATCCC